ACCAGCTCTGTGTGCTGACCCTGAAGACCTACTTTCCTGTTGTCCTAACGAAGCATGGAAGTTTTCAACCCCAGATTGACCAATCTTGTTGTCCTACTGAAGTACAGCACCACTTCAGTGGTCTCTGGTTAATAAACCCCCTGATTCGTCAGTCCCAGCTGATCAGGAGGCACAGATGACCCCTATCCCAGGTCTCAATAGAATCTTCGCTTCCCTCCAAAACCTTTTGTGGGTGTTTCTCGCAGCATGAATCCCACAAGAATGGCCCATTAAGCTCTGAGCACTCAACAACTTTCCCAGCTCAAAGTTCCAAAATCCTCCACAGTCTTCTAACAAAATAGTCCAGAGGCATTAAAAGTCCCATGTTTGGGTCCATCACAGTAGCACCCCACTTACCTGGTGCCAGTTTCCGTTCTAGTTTGCTTCTGTTGATGTGATAAAACATTCTGATCAAAAGCAGTTTGTTTGTGGGAACAAAGGATTTATTTGGCTTATACTTCAGGTCATTGGAATCTCCATCATTGGGGAAATCAGGGCAGGAACTCAAGCAGCAGCTTGAAATAGAAACAATGGCTCATGCCTAGCTGGGCTTTTTTTTTTTTTCTTTTTTTTCCCCCCAGACAGGGAAGGTCTTACTATGTAGTTTTGGCTGGCCTGGAACTCTTAGAGATCTGTGTGCCTTGACCTTCTGAGTGCTTGGATTAAAGGAGTGCACCACCATGCTTGGCATTAGCTAGCTTTCTTATAGATCCCAGGACCACCTGCCCAGGGAGTGGTGCCATCCACAGTAGGCTAGGCTCTCCTACCTCAATGATTGCAGTGGGAGGGAGGGGCTGCGGGGATGAGATGAGTGTTCCAGTAGGTGGGCTTTTCTGCCTGGCTACTGGGGAAAGCTGGGGAAAGTGGTGTGCCTTCCTTCTCAGAATGATGTTCCACACATTGTTAGCCCACGCCTGGGTCAGAGAAAATGAACGGCTGACAGTGCAGAGACAGCCGTGCTCCGTTCACTTGGTGTCTGAGAACGAAAGCTTGGGAGCATATTACAGTGTTTAATGTGATGGTGACATCGAACCTCATACATGACTATAATGTAGATGTTGGATAAAAGTTGAACTTTAGAGAGTTGAATGACACTGAAGGGCCCGTGCTCATTTAAAAGGTACTTATTGAACCTTTAGAAACCTTCATACTGAGAGAAGTCATCACCTTATTTGGGTTGGTAGGAAGCAGAGTACACCATACGTGGAGGAGGTGAAGTGTGTTAATCTCCACAAAACACCTCACAACGTCAAGGCTGGAAGTGGGCAACAAAGCATGCTTTGTGCTGAGGGGGTGATTCAAACCCAGCTCTCGGTAGCTTCTTACCAGTGTGGGCTGGAGCCAATCTCTCAGACTCTACGTGCAGTGCATGATGAGGGGTGATATTTGATCTGCAGGGCTGTGGGAATGGATCATGCTCACATGTAGCTTGGGGTCTGGCAGGTCCTAAGCAATCATCTGATACAATACCAGTAAGAATTGTTCAGGGCTGGAGGTAGAGTAACGCTTAGCATGCACAAAGCCTGGGTTCCAACCAAACTGAAAGCAAGAGTTGTTTGCTGGGTGTTAATCTGCCTTGCAGTGCCCTGGTGTAGGAGGGTGATCTTCAAAGACCAAGGGAGAGGGTGTATGAGACTTAGAGAATGGCCAGAGGGTGGACTCCATGAAGAGCCTTGTGTATGGGTTTGGTCTCTTTCAGTTCTGGGCCTGGAGAAGTAAACAGCAGCTCTTTGTTATCTCTGTTCTAAACCAGTTGAGGAAGGGGGTGAGGGGAGCATGTGGGAGACCCTGTTGCAGGGGAGGCCCAGCCCTGGTTTACATCTACGGGAAGTGCATTATCTTAGGAATAGACTCCAAGATGAAACAGACCTGCCTACCCAGGCACAGGCACTAGCGAGCCCCCCCACCCCCACTCCAGGTGGACCACACTGGGACAAGAATGGCTGCCAGCACATGTGTTTGGCCAATCAGGTGGCTCCTAAGTGGCAGAGGAGGGAAGTGGCAGACTGCCCAGTTCTACTCCACTGGAAGAGGAAGGTGAGGACAGAGGAAGGGGCAGGAGTGTGATGTGAGTGGAACCTCACCACAGACAAGCTGCCCAAGTTACAAAAAAGCTGGCACAAGTTACGAAAAAGAATGGGGTCCAAGTGCGGCTGTGGATGCTCCGGGAGGAAAGATCAGTCGTTCCCAGCTGGAGCGGAAGAAGAAGGTGTTCAAGTAACAGAGGGTAGTGAACAGGGATTGGCAACTGAAGCTCCAGGTGGCCGAGGCCATTATAGACATGGGGGATTACAAGGCACCACCTCCAGAAGCCAGCCTCCACTGCCCATGCCAACATTACTCTGTCCAGAAAGAAGCAAGGAAAACTCCTGCAACAGATCCATCTTGCCCAAAAAGAAAAGGCACCCCTGAGGTGACTTTATATCAGTCCCTTTCTTCCTGCATCCTCTCAATGTAAAGTTCTTTAGATAATAAATAATGACCACCAGTAATAAAGGAAATGAAATGGATACAGTTGATTTCTGCCTAGGAAAAAGCTTACCTGGCTGATCTAGTTAGAATCAACCCCACAATAAATGCCCTGTGAGCTAAATATCTAGGCATTAAAAACCAAATCATAAAGAATTAGAGTGAAATATTAGGTAAATTTTCATTATTCTAACTTCAGATGTGCCTTCCTAAGTGAGAAACAGGATCTAGAAACCAAGGAGGGGAATTTTACTAATTCAATAATTTTAAATTTTGTACTTCTATCAATCATATTCCAAAAACTCAAAACAAAAGAACAGCAACAAACCCCAAACAGTAGACTTAGGAGAAAACAATAGTTTCCTTAGCTGAACTGTCCTCGGGTTTACGTCCTGATGGTTTTCAGGACAGTCGGGAGAGTGGGGAAGAAGGCAGATCTGGAAGGACCTGGGGGATGGTGGGTGAATGTGATCAAAACACATCGTGTGAAATTCTCAAAGAATTAATAGAAAAGGAATAATAAGTAGAAAAAGAAGAAGAAAACCCAAAGGAAGGGCGGCCATGGAAGTAGAAGGCCCCTCAAGCCCCCAGGGTGTGGATACGGAAGACCTTGAAGATGCAAGCTAAAGTTCCTTCATCTTCTACCAGAAGATTCTCAGCTACAGCCAGAGGAATTGGTGGTTTTGGAGGAATTTGGAGAAAGCATTGCCTTCTTTCACTCTCCCAGATTCATTTTCCATAATGGCCTACTGATGTATTGGGAAGAAAGGATACAAAGAAAGACTGGGGAGGGCCCTTTCTAGCAGTCAGCTCCTGTTTGTAATAACGGAACGGGCTTAGACAGTCAGGACATCCTAGAGAGGAGTACGAGCTGGGCCTGGCTAGGTCCAGGAGCTCAGGTGGTATGGGAGGGTTTCTTTTCTTGGTTCTGTTTCACTTCACCCTAAAACAGACTACTTCCCTGAGCCCTTGCCAGGATTCCAAGTTTATAGGATCCTAAGATCTTGATTTCACAGATGGTAGAGACAGCAGCTTTTTGGACGTCTCCGTCAAATATCTCTGAATTGCATCAAGAAGCTTATCTCCATATTAGAATTAGTCACTGTGGGTTGGAGGATCAAAACCGTCATCAACCTTTCCTCTGATTAGCCAAACAGAAGTACTGAAAAATCCAGAAGGCATGGGTCCACAAAGGAATCCTGCACGTGTCTACCAAGTTCTTAAAAAGCAACAGTGACTGTTATGTAATGGAACTATGGACATCTTTCTATCGTGTTTTTATTTTGTGGGAGGGTAGGTGGGCACATGTGTGGAGGTAATAGGACAACTTGCAGGAGTTGGTTCTCTGCTTCTACCATGTGGGTCCTGGCATCAAAATCAGGTTGTCAGGTTCGCAGTGGGTGCCTTTACCTGTTGAGCTGTCTCACTGGCCCATGAATGTCTTCTTCCAAAATTCTTGTAGTCCCATTTTACTGAGAATATGCAATTGGACAAATAAGGAGAGAGGTAAAGCAAACTTTGTTGTTTTTGAGACAGTCTCCTGTAGTGCATGACCTTGACCTCCTGATCTTCCTGCCTGAGTGCTCGAAGGTTTGGTGGCGCATGTCTGTAATCCCAGCTATTTAGGAAGCTGTTTAAAAATAAAATATTTACTGGGGTTTTATTTTCACTTAATGTACATCTCTCCTGCTTGCATGGTGCCTGACAGCCAAGATCATAAATGTCCAAACCATCCTCAAATACTCCAGAGTCAACAGTGGGAGCCAGATACACAGCCTGTGGCCCAGCACGGTTCTCAAATCCCAGAAAACCAACCAGCCTCTCCAGCATCAGGCAGGGTCTCTGCTCATGGAGCTAAGCACTTCATGTTGAGACCATCTCCTTGCCATGGCTGAGATGAACTGAAGACTGGAAAACCAGGAGTGGAGGCACACCTGTGATCCCTTATTGGGGACGTGGAGGCAGGAGGATCAAGGTGTTCAGGGCCAGCCTGGGTTACATGAGACCCCATCTCAAAAACCAAAGACTGGGGCTGGTGAAATGGCTCGGTGGTTCAGAGTGTGCTGCTCTTGCAGAGATCCCAAGCTTGGTTCCCAGCACCCATGCTGAGCGGCTCAAAACTGCCTGCAAGCTCCAGATGATCCAACATACACACACACACACACAGTTAAAATAAAAATCTTTAAAAACAAAAGTGAAAAGATTGGAAAGCTAGTTGACTAGTGTATACTCGCTTGGAATGTTTTGTAATTGTTGTTTTCTCGTTTATTTGTATACATGTGTATGATGTGTGTGGGCATTAGTGAAGATGCACGTGTGCCATGGTACGCGTGTGGAGGCCAGAGGACAACTTTTGGGAGTTGGTTCTCTTCTTCCACTGTGGGTTCTGGGGATCAGAATCCATTGTCAGGGCTTACGCAACAAGCATTTTTACCTGCTGAGCCATCTGGCTAGCCCTTTTGTTTAACTGTTTATTGCTTCCCTCCAAACAGACAGCTACGGACAGTTCTTCTAATTCCTCTCAGAAGAGGGAACAGCATACACGGACAATCTCCTCCCCCATATCTTGTGAGCACAGGAGGATTTATACCCTTGACCCTTACCCCGTCGACCATTACCACCCTGACCAGGTGAGCAGTAGACCCCTTCCCCTCTGATGAGTTCGACCACAGCCCCCTTCTCGCTGCTCCCCAGCCTGGGCCCTATCTGCTCTCTTCCTTTTCACCCTCCCCCACAGTGAAGGTGGCTGCCAGGTCTCACACAGCACCTTGCCTCACCCTTTGTATGTGCTCTGGTTTGATCCTCCCAAATTACCCCACAAGGCCAGGCATAGGCACCTCTGGTTTACAGATGATGATGTGGCACTAGGGAGTGCCTGGGGGAATGAGATGCGATGCCACTGTCTTTACCCGGGATGAGATACTGCCCTCTGCATTCCTCTGTCCAGAGGGCCTCCTGGTTGTGAAAGGAAGGGCCCCAATCAAAGCTAAAGGATGCAGCATACTTGGCTTCGGCCCCTAGCATTCAGGCCACCGGCCCAGTCTTGCTCAGGGAGATGTAGCTGCAGTCTGGAATTCAGTAATTCCACAAATATTTACTGACCGGCTGTTTTGTGGAACGGGTTCCCAAATTATGGGATGTGGATGGGTGCCTGTGTGGGTCATGTGGCCACTTGGCTGCTTTGGAGTGAGAAGAAACAAGCACTGATCAGGGAGTTCTTGTTTGTTTTTAAAATGGTCTTATTATGTGCTTCCTAATATTTTGACATTAAAATATTCTTTTTTTAGCCAGGCATGGTAGCAGATGCCTGTAATCCCACATGTGGGAGGCTGAGGCTAGGCACATGAGCCTAGGCTATAATGTTGAGTTTCAGTTCAGTTTGGGCTACAAGTGAGAGTCTTAAACAAACTCAGCAACAAAATAATCATTTTTATGCCATACATGGTGGCACAGGCCTGTGGCCCTAGCACTTGGGAAGTAGAAGCTTTTAAAAGGATCCAGAGCTCAGCAAGATTATCCTCAGCTACATAGTGAGTTTCAGGTCAGCCAAAGCTACTTCAGAAGCAGTCTGTCTAATGGACTGACTGACATGTCCTCTTAATCACCTGATAGTAGCAGGTAGATGGAAATTGACTTTTTCACTTTCCCTATTTTGAAAAATTAAAAAATGAGATAATGCCAGGTGTGGTGGCACACGCCTTTAGTCCCAGAGGCAGGTGGATCTCTGAGTTCAAGGCCAGCCTGGTCTCCATAGTGAGTTCCAGGCCAGCTGGGACTGCAGGGAGACCCTGTCTCAAAAAGACAAAAAAAAAAAAGAGATAATGCATTAAATCCTATGAGCTTGAGCTTGTGGGCCCGCAAGATGGCTTCGCAAGTAAAAGCACTTGCTACACAAGCCTGAGTGCAATCTCTGGATTCCATGGTGGAAGCAGAAAACTGACAGCAGAAAGTTGTCCTCTGACGCCCACTCATGAGCCATGGGAGGCATGCACACACAAAAATGCTAAGTCTTTCCAGATTATTTCCAGATTTGATATCCAAAGTCGGAGAAACTGGTATGGGAAATCTGACAAAAAGTAAAACAAAGTAAATGTCACATGACCTCCGTCCTCCTGAGCTCAGGACCTGATGGGAAGCCATAGCTTAGTCTCTTGCTGTGTTGCAGTCTTTAGCAATACAATGACAGTATCCACAGACCCTGTTTTTTAGTGGGATGCTGAGCTGACTCTGCAGAAGTCAATGGTCTTTCATTCTCAGCCAGACCTGCGAGTAAATTCTGTGGTCCTAATTTGACCACTTGTAAGTTGCCCTGAGACACTTCCTTGCCTAAAGGCCATCAGAAGCAGGAATGTCATTCCCTGCTCCAGGGGTATGCACATATATGCAGTAAGTATTCAGCACCTGTGGCTCTGGACGAGACACTGTAATGGGACTAACCACTTAAAACTTTCACCCTCTGAAACTGTGTGGCTTGGACTTCAAGGCTCTGACTCTGGTCTTAGTTCCTTTTCCTGGTGCCGCAATAGAAACAACCCGACAAAAGCAACTTAAGGGAGAAAGGGTTTATTTCACAGTTCTAAGTTACAGTCCATCATGGTAAAGTCTGGGCCGCTGGAGACTGAGGCAGCTGTCACACTGCATCTGCTAAGAACCAGCGATGAATGCTGTGCTAAGCTCACTTTCTCCTTTCATACATTCCAGGGGCCCAGCCACCTACAGTGGGTGTGTCTTCTCACCTCAACCTAGTCAATATAACCCTCACTGGCATGCCCACAGGTCTGTCTCCCAAGTGTCTCATCTAATTGACAATTGAGACTAAGCACAGAAATCCTGGTGGGATTCAAATCTGATGAGTTACTGGGGCCTTCCATCTTACCCTTTCCGTAGCTGTTGATTGTTTTTTGACGGTATCTCCTTTGTCATGGCCCACATGGAAGTCACGATGTGAACCATGTAAACCAGGGTAGCCTGGATCTCGCAGAGATGCACCTGCCTCTGCTTCCTGAGGGCCGGGAGTAAAGGTGCACACCACCAGGCCTCATGTCTGTACATCGACCTTTTCAATCAGATTGCAATTACAACTCAGGGCCGGCATCTCAGGTGCTTTCTGTGCTATGCTTTCTAGGGTCCCTATTGCTCTTTTGAACATGATCCAAAATGAATCTTGTGATCCAGTGTGAACATTAGTGTCATGAAACAACTTATCCTAGTAACATGCAGTGCACCCCAGTATTCTGGTTCTTTTGAAACACATCTTTTGGCTGACAGGATGTCCAGTTAAAGGGGGTGGGTTTCTCCCAGAAGGTTGAGGTGAAAGGTGCCCTTTGCAGGAGCCGGGTGCAAGTCTGTCTGTCCTCTGTTATAACTGAGTCTGGTTTTCCCTGGGCAGCGGATGCCGAGGTCCTACCCGCAAGTCAGCTTCCCGGAGGATGAGGAGGAGATCGTGCGCATCAACCCTCGCGAGAAGATCTGGATGACGGGCTACGAGGACTACCGGCATGCACCGGTGCGCGGCAAATACCTGGACGCGGAGGACGCGGACTCGTACGTGCGCTTCGCCAAGGGCGAGGTGCCCAAGCATGACTACAACTACCCGTATGTGGACTCCTCGGATTTTGAGGACCCCAAAGGCCGCGGGGGCGGCGTGATCAAGACGCAGCCGCCCAGGGCCAAGTCTCGGCGGCGGCGCGAGGATGGGGAGCGCTCACGCTGTGTCTACTGCAGGGACATGTTCATCCACGAGGAGAACCGCAGGGGCCGCTGCCAGGACGCGCCTGACGCGCTCAGAACTTGCATCCGCCGCGTGAGCTGCATGTGGTGCGCGGACAGCATGCTCTACCACTGCATGTCGGACCCCGAGGGCGACTACACGGACCCGTGCTCGTGCGACACTAGCGATGAGAAGTTTTGCCTCCGGTGGATGGCACTTATTGCCTTGTCTTTCTTGGCCCCCTGTATGTGCTGTTACCTGCCCCTGCGGGCCTGCTACCACTGCGGGGTGATGTGCAGGTGCTGCGGCGGGAAGCACAAAGCCGTTGCCTGACTCGATCCCCAGCGCCAGGGAGCTCGTGTCCTCCCCGTCCTCTCCCTGCTTCCCTGCACTCCAAAAGGAGGCCGGGCTAACCCTTCCGGCACCCTTCCAGCCCGGGGAGCCGCCTGGCACCGGCCAGCCACATACCCACACTCGCAGTGTTCCCAGGAAAGGAGCCTTTCTGCATAGACTCGCGTGTGACCAGCCTGTAATCATGCCCTTACTGGTGTGTTGATTTCCTGTCTCCTCCCCACCTCTTCCAGTTCAAAGGAGTCTGCGGTGGAAACTGCTGGACTTGGTGGCATTTGGTGTGGGGTTCAGAGTTGAGCTTTCCAAGTGCACCGAAGACCATCTTTTTCCCTGTTGGGCTTGTCTGTCGCTGGCAAGCACCGGATTCCTGTGGAGATGTGGCAGAGTCAGGAACTCTTTACCCAAAGTAGTATTGTCACCTGCAGCGCCTCATTGCTCCGGGAGGTGAGCTGGTTAACAATCTTGTACCCCAGAACAATAGTGCTTTAACTTTTCTAAAGCCAGATTTCCCGTGCAAGCTGCAATTTCTGTCTTTAGCCCATCATCGTCCTTCACCCCTCCCCTCCCCTATCTGTGGAATTCATTCACTGATGCAAAACATTTACCTTTGAAATGACTGAGAATTGAGCCTTAACTTGATTAACTTGTGAGAATCAGGAAAAATTCCTTAAACTGCATCACATCTTTTTGGACCAGGGCTAGAAAGGGGATTTTGGGTTTCTATGAGCCTGCCCAGTTACCCCTGAAATAGACCTCTTTAGAATTGTGTTGCTACTTCTAAAACCTTAGCAATATTAGAATAACACATAAATGAAATAAATTTTGCGCATTATTTTGCAAACCAAATAGACTTAAACCCAAACCTGTGTTGGAAAAACACGTTTGTGGTGAATAAAACTGTAGCGGTTACCTGCCCCCTGCAACTATTTTATACTAACTAGGGGGAATTTTAAATGTCATCCATTTAAAGAGTAGTGGTTTGCATTTTATTTCTGGGCTTATGTTTTTGTCTTCATTTGGGGCTCAATTCATTTATACTTGGGAAAAAACAAGGCCATATGTACAAACCCTTCCAATGCCTCTAAGTGTCTTTCTCCTGCAACCCCACACCCAGACTTCCCACTTTGGGTGCACAGATGGTTAGGTCACCAACTGATTCTACCTGTTGCTGAGCCACATATGAGGCTTCAGAATAGCTGGGAAGAGTATTTTTCTAATATATTGCAAGAAATAGCCAAATCTTACTGAAGAAAGAAGTGAAGCGTACTTAGCATAGTACAATCAGAACTCTGTGGAGACCACGGGCGGGCTTGCCCCCACTGCCGACTGCTCTTCCCACCAAGATCTTCCCAGATAATTGTCAGCGGGAGGCTTGCCCGGTCCCCCTTCCTTCTCTATTGCACACAGGACATCAGTCTTCAAGGAAAAGGACTTTTTTCCAGTCTGCCAATCATATGGGAAAATGCTAGCCATGCTTACCTTCGTGGGAATGTTTCTGCTCGCCTGAGAGCCTGTGTTTCTTTAGACGGATCGCCAGTGTAGATAACCAGTGTGCTTATGAGTTAGTTGGTATACATTTGCATTTTTTGGAATAACTGGTTGGGGCTATCTATTATGGAAAAGATGCAGAGAGCTGTCATCCATCTATGAGGATGGAAGGAAAGAAAATGCCGGTGGGGAGAAGGCATAGAAAGCCCTCAGCCAGTGTCCACTGCTGTGGAGAGACCCTCTGCCCCCAGCCTAAGGGAATGACCTCAGGCCCCTTCTCTAAATCGCCTCTCTACAAAGCACAACACTAATGTATGTTTCTCAGACCTCAGTTCAAACGTCCCTATTTATTTCAGTAAGAACACTCATCCCAGCCCAGTGCTTCTTGTTGTCTTTGTCGTATCTTCCTCCTCCCTTGCTGATTTCCACCCCTTTAAGAGTTATGCTGGCGAATCATACTCCATGCACCATTGTTGGCTTGTAAAGGCAGCAGTCAAGGGCACAAAGACAGCCATGGGGACATGCGTGTAAATATGTCTAACTGCCACACTGCAGCAGAACCGTGTGTGGTATTTTCTCAGTCAGCTTTGCCGTACTGACGCCAATCATTTGAGAAAAATTACTCAGATTTTATTTTTATATCCGTTGTCACAAAACATTAACCAAAAGATTTTTGGTTCAGAAGCAAGCATCCCTGACCCCCATCCCAAGCTGTTTGCTCACATTAACGAATCAAAGTGCCTGAAGCATCTTTTGTTCACCTGTATACTAAAACCCCTGTTGTATTGATTTTTTTATAATAAGCCTTTTTACCTCTGTAAAAAAATATATATACAAGTGTATGATGTACATTTTAGTTCTTAACTTTTTTTATGGTTTCTAATATGTATGCCCAATGTAGCCATTGCTTTAAAATGTACCATGTAAATATAAACACATCCTATCAGATTACTGGCTCTGGGATATCTGTCTGACAGGAGACAGGGTGGCTGTTGGCCCAGGAGTGCTCGCACACAGGGTGGGATGAAGTTTCTTTTGCAAAAGGACTTGAGGACATGGGTCTGTTTTTGTGAGGCCCTTCCCACCTGTGGTTATGTCATATCCCAAGGGAAACACAGTACCTCAAATGAAGAATGATGTGTCACCCGCCCCCACCGGAGAACACCGGCTGTCCTAGCCAGCTTCCCCACAAGTGCTCCTGGGGGAAAGGCTACACTTCCTCTGAGTTGTTTTCCACTAATTTTTGTGACCCTCAGGGTAGGGGGTGGAGGGTGTATCTGGAAGACAGGAACTGTACACCCCGTTGTCATCCAAGCAGCTCTCTTGGCCCACTCTCCAGATGGATCTTTTGGATGCTGGGAAGCTATAATGACAGTCCCCTGGTAGAAATGAGGGTCACAGAAGGAAGTTGGCTCCTAGGCTCCTTTCTTTAAAAAAAGGTGCACAGAGGCCTCTAAATTTTAACTTTTCCCCAGAGGGTGACTTCCAAGCCACTGACAGAGATCAGATGGAAGAGAGGTGCTAGAAGTTAGGAAACAGAATCCTCAGGGGAAGAGGTCTTAAGACCTCGCTTGACCCTCTGCACCCTGTTTCACAGCCAAGGAACCAAAGCAAAGAATGGTTAACTAAGGTAGGGCCTGAGCCAGGCTGGCTATTGACAGACCCCTGGTGCTTAAGGGCCTTGCTCCAAGCCCCTGAGCTCCTTCCATCACTAAAAGTAAGCCAGAGCTAGCCCCCACCCCCTCCCCCTGCCTCAGGGAGTAGTTCTTGGACTTCAGTGCCTGTGAGTGAGGCCAGGAACTAGGCAGGCTGTGTATCTCATGTTTAACCCTCCACATCATGAGGGTTCATGCTCATGTCACACTTCAGGAAGCCCAGCACAGAAGTACTCACTTGACTGAACTCCCTACACAGTGCCATTACTAGCCAGTAGCCCTCAGACAAACAACTACTCTTCTCAGTTTCCTCTGCTATAAATGTTACAGGATCCAAGTCCAGCTGCCTGTCCACTCAACCGACTGATTGTCATTGCTTATTTCTTTTGCCCTTGCTGAGGGAGATGAAATCCTAGCAGAAGTAGTATTCTGATCTGCAATGAATTATGTCAAGGAGGTGACTTTTTGAGACCGGGTCTCCCTCTAGCCCCAGCTGGCATAGAATACACTATGTAGACCAGGCTGGCCTTGAACTCAAAGAGATCCGCCTGCCTCTGTCTCCCAAGTGCTGGGACACCATGCCCAACTGTCATCATAGCTTTTTAAAAAAATTTTTATTTATGTGTATGTGTCTGTGTGTTCAGGTGCCTGTAGAGCCCAGAGAAGGTGTCATATCCCCTGGAGTTGGAGTTACATGCAGGTATGAGCCACCTGTGAATTCTGGGAACTGGACTCGGGTCCTCTGGAAGACCAGCAAGCACTCTTAACCACTAAGCCATCTCTCCAGGCCCTCACCTTGGTTTTTTGTTTTTTTTTTAACTAAGCCCAAATTTCCCATGTAAGCTTCCCTTTCTATCTGTAACCCATAATCATTCTCTGCCCCGCATGCATCTGTTTAACTTACTGATGTTTGCAGTACATTTATTTTTAAAATGACTGAGAATTGTGCCTTGACTTGACAACATGTTGAGGTAAGGAAGATGATTCAGAAACCTTGGCACTTAGAAGACTGAGACAGGAGGATTGCATGGAGTTCAAGGCCAGTTTGTGCTACGTAGTTCCAGGCAAGCCTGAACTAAAGTGTGAAAACAATGACAACAACAAATGCAAACAGTAAGCAGGTCAGGAAGATTAAAATAAACATGTTAGACCATTTTCTTTCCCTGGAAGCTGATGGGGTTTATATAGAAGGCTGGTTATGGGGGCTGGAGAGATGACTCAGTCACTAAGAGCACCAGCTGCTCTTGGCAGAGGACCTAGGTTAGTTCCCAGCACTCACATTATGACTAACAACCTTCCATAACTCCAACTCCAGGGGATGCAACCACCCTCTTCTGGTCTCCGCAGGCACTGCACCCATGGGTGCATTTACATACATGCAGGTAAAACATTCATTACACAAAAAATTAAAATTAAAAAATTGTAGGAGTCCAATTGCAAACTAGACGGTGCTTTCTCACAGAGATTTGTGACCCAAAGACACACACCTGATCCTAATCACCTAGTCACAAGATGCTTTTCAGTGTGCAGAGCTCAGGAACAGATCATTTCCTTGAGCTGCTTTTCTGATTAGTTACCCTATGCGCTGTTGATAACGTGGACAGACTGGAGGGCTAAATGCTCAAAGCCCCCTTGTTGATCACCAAACTCAGTAGGAAAAGAAAACAAGGGTCAAGTGAGGTGAGACAGGGAGAGCTGGGTATGAAGGCTGACTTCAAGACAAGCACAGTAAGTAACCCCTGCCCTGCACGCAGTTTTGTAATGTGACTCACAGGAGGTAAGGTACTCCCTTGGTTCCATGTTTGTTCTGGGACCTGAGGGAACACCAGCCACTGGAGAAGACAACTTGCTTGAAGGCACCAAGGGCCAGAGCTAGTGGATATTTTGTGTAAGTGTTTAACCTACAACTTACTCTGAGATTTCTTGTTCTAACTGCAGTTCTGAATTAGGTTGCACTTCCTTACTGACCTTTCCAAATGTGTTAGCTGCCCAGGTGATATCTGCAGACGTGCATGAGGCTGGCCTGATTCTAGACAGAATGTACAACTTGGAAAAAGCCAGTGGCCTCTGTCCAAGCAGTTCTTATGGAGATAGCTGGTCCCAGCTCAAAGACAGTTGCCCCTAGACAACTCAGTATCTCCAGGGTCCTGCCTGCCTGAACTTGGAACACTTAGTCTGAGGTTCCCTCCTGTAGGTCAGTCTTCACTTCTCCTCTCTGATGCTCCCCTAGTGAGGTCACAGCTCCTTCCTGAATGGCAAACATCTCCCAGAAAATTAGACCACTTCCAAGGGGCACAGTGTGAGTCCTATTAAAGAGACCTGTAGGGCTGTTTGTTACTTGTCATGGAATGCAAGTAGGCAGTCATAGGGCTACCAGAGCTTGTGAAAGCACCTCATGCTACAGGCATTTTCACTGCAGGCCTATCGGGCTTTCTGATGTGTGGAATGAGATGTCTAGATATCCCACACTTGGCTGGTTTTTGTTTTCTTCCTTTGCAGTGCTAGAGATCAAACCTAGAGCCTCAGACATGCTAAGCACATGCTTTGAACACAGCTCCAGCCCCTGTTTGTCTGTTTAGGCCTGAACCAGACACATCGAGAATAAAGGGCCGTGACCCTACCACACCCTGCCTGGCCTCAGCTGCTCTCCCTGACCCCTCCATCATGCAACTTTTGTGCCTTCAAGCCCAGTACCACATGAACAATGCTGCCAAGCTCTGCTAGCAGCTTCTGATGGAGCCTCACCTCCCCCGCCCCGCAACCACCAGCACAGCTGCGTCAGCTTGTGCGCTGACTTTCCTACGGACTTGCTTTTGAGGCACAAGGAACCTCTTCAGCTTAGTCTTTCTTCCTTTAAATTAACTTGAATCTCCACAGGATGGAACCTCCAAGGGGCGTGGTTTTACCCTCAGGACGGCTTTCCTACTGTCCCTGCTGCAGAGTGCCAGGTTTCACTTTAAAGGTGCTAATCTCTTTAACAGTTACAGCTGCTTTTTGTCTATATTGTCCTCTGAAATTTGAACCCTGCTCACACCTTTCCTCCAGGAACAATGAATGCATTATTTCTGATTATGAATGTGATGGGCTAAGTGATTTCTAAAGTGCTTTCTGCCCTTAAGTTCTCTTATTCAAAATTATAGGAACTAATGAAAGGGAGGGCCAAGAGCAAGAAAACTGGAGTAGTTTGTGGGCATAGCTCAAGGGTATAGCTTTGTAGTGTTCATGAGGACCTGGGTTCGGTCCCCAGCACAGAACATTAAGAGAACAGTGGGTGGTTATACCATTCTTGTGTGTGTTCGTGTATATATATGTGTGCAGGTGCATGTGGAGATCAGAGATCAACTTTGGGTGTCTTCCTCCACAGCCCTCCGCCTTGTTTTTGAGCCAGGGTCTCTTGCTGAACCCAGAGCTGTTCAATTCTGCTAGAATAGCTGGCCAGCAAGCCCCAGAAACCCTTCTGTTTTGACCTCCCCGGCACTCTGGGTTCTGGAGAATTGAGTTCATGTCTTCAGGCTTGCAAGGCTAACTACTAACTGAGCCATTTCCTCAGCCCTATGGGTTATACTGTTCTATCTAGACAATAAAAATAAGGAAAGATGAATGTTTTTCTCCCAAAGTGAAACTTATTCCTTCTTTTTCTGATCTTATTGCATGAATGTTTTACCTACATGTATGTATACCACGTGCATGCTTGGTGCCTGGGGAGGTCAGAGAGAGCATCAGATCCTCTGGAACTGGAGTTGCAGATGGTTGTGAGCCACTATGTGGATGCTGGGAACCAAATCCCAATCCTTTGCAGGGGCAGCAAGTACTGAGCCATCTCTCCAGCTCCATCTTCTTTTTATTTTTTTAATTATGTATATGCATGTGTGTCTGTGTATGTATGAGCACTTGAATACAGGTGCTCATGGAGATCAGAGATGTTGGATCCCCTGGGGCTGGAGTTACAGGGGGTTGTGAGTCACCCAACATGGGTGTTGGGAACCAAACTCAGGTTCTTTGCGAGAGTAGTATGTGCTTTTAACTGCTGAGCCATCTCTCCAGCCCTAAACTTTGTTCTCTTTAAAATGATTTTGAGGGAAGGGGATGTAGTTCAGTTGATAGAATGCTTGCCTAGCACACATGAAATCCTGGATTCCATCCCTGGCACCACATAAACGGGGTTTGATAGTACATGCCTATAATCCCAGAATTCTGGAGGATCAGCAGTCCAAGTTCATCCTCAGCTTCATAGGGAGTTTGAGGCCAGCCTGGGTTACAGAAGATCATGTCCAAAAACAATTATTAAGTT